AAGCCCAATCAATGAGATCCTCCCAAGAAGAGGGCAAGGAACGAATTCGACATAAATTGTGCAGAAATCTCCAAATTGAGTTGATGAAGGCGCAGGAAAAGAAGATGTGATCATGGGTTTCATCAGCAGAGTAGCAAAACTGGCATAATCTGGATCCAGTGAAAGATTGCATACACTTCCCGTCATACGTGGAGAGGCGATTCTGGATAGCCAGCCAAAGAGTGATTTTGCAGCGTGGAATGGAGAACGAATGCCATACTAGATGCTGCCATTGCCTTGGTTGGTGGTGGGGTGCAAGCCAATCGATGGTATGCCTGATAGAGAAGTCACCAGAGGGTGAGGGAATCCATATGGCGGCATCCGGAGCTGGAGATGGAGGGTTGATCCGAAGCAGGTCCTGAAATTGCAACGTAAGTGAAGATAGAAAGTTCCAGCCCTCATTCCCAATTAGTGAGCATAAATGCTGTCCCGGTGTAATGGGCGAGTTGTGTAATAGGTCAAGGGTGGCTTGGTAGGTGAGTGGCCCAATAGGAAGCCAGTTATCCTCCAAACAAAAAGTTTAATTCCCATCTCCAACCTTCATTCTAATCATAGAGCGAGCAGTACCACGAAGCTGCATAAGTTTCTTCCAGTTACTTGAACATGCCTGTGGGATATTCATAGTCCAGAAACATCTTCCACGAATGAGCTGTGTCCTAACCCATTGAGCCCATAAATTAACCCTGCTTTTAGACATGACATTCCAAAGAAGTTTAAGACAAGCAACATTGTTGTAGATCTCTAGGTTTCGGAACCCCAAGCCACCACAGATTTTGGGCTGACAAACAGTATGCCATGCAACTTTTGCCCCAGTGAATGAGAGTTCATTCCTTTTCCAAAGGAAGTTCCTTAGAAGCCCATTAATCACTGTCAAAACTGACTTAGGCAAGATGAAGATGCTTAGCCAGTAGTTGACCATGCTGTAAAGCACCGAATGGATTAGTTGAATTCTGCCCGTATAGGAGAGAAAGCATGATGACCAATGAGTGATTCTTCTAGTAACCTTTTCCACCAAGGGTCTACAGTCATCTGTTGTAAGTGATAAGGAGATTAAAGGGACCCCAAGATACCTCATAGGCAGCTCCCCACATGCAAATCCCAATAAATTCTCAATTTCAATAGTAAGCTCAGAGCTGACTCCCGACACAAAGAAGTTGCTTTTTGAGTGGTTGATACAGAGTCCAGAGAGTAGAGTGAATTCATCAAGAGCCCTCTTTAGTGTACCAATTGAGGCCAGGTCCCCATAGGAAAATAGAAGCAAGTCATCAGCAAAAATGAGCTAAGAGATAGCTAAATTCCTGCATCTTGAGTGAAACTTAAAAGATGGATTATCAGCAATAAATGATTTCGGGACCCGCTTTCACGCGAAACATGCAAGAATGGTCCAACTGGCCTCCACTCTACCAAACACACCATGTTCACCTTTGGTTAATAGGTACGTTTAGCTAGAGGAACCTTTATCTCAGTGGAAAAAGTAATTCAAAGATAAGGTATATGAGGTGAAATATACCAAAAATACATATCTAAATTGTACTGAAATTGAATGGGATTGATAAGATGTGTCTCCATACTAGATAGAGTTAGTACCACACATATGCGTCTCCATGGGAATTAACAACATAAGGGTACATATATATGTGTGTGTGTGTGTGTGTGTGTATAAATTAGAGTTTTAGTGATTATTAAGACATTTTTATTTGGACCTAGAAGGGCTCTAGTGATAGCATTTGGTACCATAAATAGTTGTTTCGATTAGAATTTTTTTTATTATAATTTTGTCACTGTCATGATTACTGTCTAATATCAAAGGCTTTGTAGTCAGGTGGCATCTACTCTATTTGTTAAAGTGAACGGTGAGAGTTCGAATTTCTAAAAGAATATGATAGTGTATGAGTTTACAAAAAAAAAAAAAAAAAACTGATTGCTATATATCTAATTACTTTAGTAAGTTTATTTCACTTAGCTTTATTTTGGCTCAATGCTTAATGTTTGTTTTGAATTTCTTTTATCTTTTCTATATTGTGCTTGGGATGATTATTTTTTTAGCTTTGCTTTGCATGATTTTCTAGTAATTTCATTGTCGCTCCTAAGGATGAGAATTCAAAATTAAAGAATTTGTTTATGACTTTCCTAGTAATCTCAATATAATGAAATCAAATGGAATCAATTTTCGGAGTGGAATAAATCCTAAAGCAGATGGAATCTTTGATGGTTTAAATTTTGGGTATGAAATAAAGGAAAAGAAAAAGAAAAAGAAAAAGAAAAAGAAAAAGAAAAGTAATAAAGTGCTATTACATTCTTGTGGTTGGCTGCTTTTTATCACCATTTTGGCTTTGGTGCCATATGGATACTATAGTTGATGAAGCAATTTCCTGCATCGTACATTACTATGCTAAAAAGGTACCAAGTTGGATGCTTTATAAAGCAAATGTCAGACCATTGGAATATATGAATGAAACTTTCCTGCAAGGCTGCAACTATATATATCAAGTTAGACTATATTAATTGTTGCATTGTAAATATCTTGGTGCGGATACATGTTATCATGTTTATCACGTTAGAACTAAAACGTGAATACGGCTGGTCATTTAACATATCCTATTGGATATAAGATGTATCCTATTGGATATGAAATGTTTCAGAGATGAATTGAAAAGGCATGCACTTGTGTTAGAATTTTTTAATGAAAATTATTTCATCAGTCATCAAAAGATGTCTTTAACTGAACATGTATGATCATTAATTGGTTGTGGGATGAAAAGATGCAACTCAAAACCAACAGACATAACATATTCAATGTGAACCACTGCAAACTATTGCAGTGGTTATATCCAGTGATGAAGAGATACATATAAATGGTTGTGTCCAGTGATGAAGAGACACATATAAATAGTTGTGTCCAATAATGAAAAGACACACCAAATTTAAAAAGGCACGTCTATTTCTATAAATATCCCCTTGGGCTACCATTTGCAATTCATTCAATTCATTTTCTTCTCTCTCCCTCTCTAGACTCGAACCCAACCCAAATAGGTTCAAACCATAGGTCAAGTCATCCGAGCCACTTAGATCCTAATCAAATTTCATTGAGCCATATTAAGATTGGTCTGAATCATTTGGTTCGGATTGCACCCAATTCAGCATTTATGTCGTATATATGCATTTTTGAGTAAGAGAGGGTATTACATGGAGGAGATTCGCCGTATCCACAAGTTTGTAGTGCTGCTACTGGTCAAGGTAGACAGTTGTATCTTGGGAGACAAGCACCACAAAGTTCGTCAGCACCATATGGAACTTAAATTGTCCAATACTAACCTCAGTCCAAATTATTTATTTTTAATTAATATATTATTACATTATTCTGCATGTTTAATTAAATATCCAGTTACATCATATTCAAACTTATTTGAACATGTTATCTACAATATAACCAATATAGATGATTATAAAATAAAGGTAACTAACCTCCAATGTCACCCACTCTATCAAACACACCATGTTCACCTTGGGTCAATAGGTACGTCCAGCTAGAGGAACCTTTATCTCAGTGGAAAAAGTAATTCAATGATAAGGGTACATATATATATATATAAATTAGGGTTTTAGTGATTATTAAGACCTTTTTGTTTGGAGCAGAAGGGCTCTAGTGATGGCATTTGGTAACATAAATGGTTATTTCGTTAGGATTCTTTTTTTATTATAATTTTGTCACTATGTCATGATTAGTGTCTAATATCAAAGGCCTTGTGATCTGGTGGCATTTCCTTTACCTCTCAAAATGGACAATGAGAGTTTGAATTTAAAAAAAAAAAAAAAAAGGTGGTGTATGAGTTTTTTGTTAATGACTAAAAAATATATATAAATAGAAAGAAAAAAAAAAAAATTTGATTGGTGTCTAATTACTTTAGTAAGTTTATTTCACTTAGCTTTATTTTGACTCATTGCTCAATGTTTAATTTTAATTTCTTATATCTTTTCTATTTTGTGCTTGGGATGATTATGTTTTCTAGCTTCGCTTTGCATGATTTCCTAGTAATTTCATTGTCACTGTTAAGGTTGATAATACAAAATTAAAGAATTTGTTTGTGACTTTCCTAGTAATCGCAATATAATGAAATCAAATGGAATTAACTTCCGGAGTGGAATAAATCCTAAAAACATCCAAATCCCTTTGATCAGGCTATTTTGTAAATGGAGTTGAACAAGTTTTTTTGGACAAAAATTGTTTAGCAAATATTCTGTGGGATAGCCACTTCAATCAAGATATCTGAACTCTTTTGAAAGATATGTAAGGCGTCCATCAAGTTGCACTACACTAATTTTGAGTATTCTTAACTGCTTCATCTTTGCAAAGGCATTAGGGCTTACGACAACCTTCCCACGGAATTGTCAATGCCTTCTAAAGATAATCCTTTCTCAAGTAACATAATGGCTTCGATATTTTTTGTCACCTACCAACTAAGAAATAAAAACTTAACTCTAACCATACAACTTCAAAGAAGAGTACTTGGACATTACAATACAAGAAACTTGTTTTTTTTCCGCATATCTTGCACATGGAAAGAAAATAACAAATATGCCTTCAACACGTACCATATTTTCAGTGAATATGTCATAAATGTCCTTGTAAGACCACAACCTGTTACGCCTTCCAAGATCTTTAGATTCATGACGAACAATCTCTTGACCCATTTCTTGTATCAAATCATGCATCCAAAGCTCGTTATATTTTGATATAGTGATGAGGGACCTGTCAGTGAGAACTTTTAATCCAATGACCGGGTGAAATCCACAACTCTAAAAAATTCTCCCTTCAAATTCTTTTTGATATCCTTTGAAGAAACATGTGATATCGAGAAATATAGCCTTCTGTTCTTCATTAACGCTACGAAATTTAGCCAATTACAAAATATATATACAACAGTAATCCCAAAAATCCCCCACCCCTCTTGCCCAGCTGATTATAGACCTATCATATGTTGTATAATCAATTTACGATAATAATCAGGCAGTTCATCATCCTCCCACCTTAAAAAACCACATGAGCCAGTCCTGTAGTTTGCGCACCCGTAAAACCATCTACCAGGATTTCGTTGGGTATATGACACTTTTAAAGGACTTTTAACTCCACATTTACAATAATATTCTTTCACTAGACTCCAATATGGGTAACAATGGCTTCTTGAGCTTGAAGATGATGACATGTTTGGAGTAAATGAGTAAAAATCATAACTTATCTTGAGAACATCTTGAATACCTTTGGGAGGGTTGCTCTTCAATTTATCCAATTCATTTTTCCACTCTGAAATGCTTCTTTTGCATAAAAGAGATCCCAAAACTTGAAGAGCTAATGGAAGACCTTTGGTATAATATTTTACACGATATGAGAGTTCTCGATAAATTTCTACAGGATTGTCCTGCTGGAATGCATGCCAATTGAAAAGTTCAAGTGCTTCTTTGTCATCTAATATCTCAACTTTGTATGTTTCAATATCGAACTTCCTTAACAACCTTTCATCCCTAGTTGTTATGATTATCTTATTTCCCGAACCGAACCAATTCTCTCTTATTCCAGCTAAACTCTCTAATTGCTTCTCATGATTTACATCATTAAGAACTACACGAATCTTTTTGTGCTCAAGTATAACCTTTATCTCATTCATTCCTTGGTCAGAATTTGATATCTCTAAATAATTATCCATTAGGGTCTTTCTGAGAAGCTTTTGTTGTAGTTTAGCTAGACCATCTTGCTTGGTTGATTCTTCCCTCACATTTCCAAGAAAACAACTTCTTTCAAATTCTTTTGACATTTGGTTGAAAACCGCTTTGGCAACGGTTGTCTTACTTATTCCTCCAGTTTCACAAATCCCGACAAAGAGGTTATCCTCTGACCTTTCATTTAACAACATGATTACTTTATTTGCTCGAGAATCAATACCCACTCCGTACTTAGCAACACTTAATGGTGTAGGCGGCAATTGTCTTGAAATCTCTTGGACAATTAGTTGGATAAACTTGTCCTCATCCCTATCAAGTATAAAACACATTAAAATATAAATACAGTGACAACAAAAAACAAAGAGGGAGAGGGTAGGTAGAGAAATACATAAAGGTTTAATTATAGATATTGAAATTTGCCACCATAAATTAAAGATAAGATAAGAAATTGTATTGTATTAGGATGTTAATAATGATATCTACATTGAAGTACTAAGCTAGTAATAACTGATGAAGCAGAACATGTATAAGTTGTTATGTTTTACCACAAACAATAAATGGAATTAAATATACCCATTTACTGCATCTTGTAAATCTAAGCCGCTTATACTTGCACCTTCCTTCAAAGCAACCCTCTATCTATGCACCCTTTCCAACTCCTTCTCATGAATATTTTCATAGTCTATAAATGCTTCCTCAAAACTCCTCTTCTGGTGCCGAACTTGGGATGCTTTGACATGGTAGAAGATGGGCAAAACTGTCTGTTCCTTGTTCCTCCTGCACTCAAGGATCTCCACCAATTTGTCCAAGCACTATGATGAATTAGTGTAATTCTCGGAGAAAACGATTAGCGCAATGCTTGATGCTTTAATAATTTTGCGGAGCTCCGGAGATATGGATTTTCCTCTCTCAAGCTTTTCATCATCCTTAAAGTTCCTGATTCCTCTCTAATCCAAAACCCTGTAAAGATGGCCCACAAAGGTTTTGCGAGTATCTTCACCTCTAAAACTCAAGAACACATCAAATTCCCGAGACACAAGAGGAGGAGGAGGCAGTGAAGAAGAAGATGAAGCAACCATAGGAACCTTGCTTAATTGTGTGCCAAATCTCTTGGAGCTAGAGATCTGGATATAGAGAGAGAGAGACATGAAATGTAATAGCTACATACGCACAGTACTCTGCATATATTCAAATCTGAGTCATTTCCTCCAACTGTAAAGGTATACAGAAGATGAATTTGCTTGTAACTTTCCACGGACCTTCTTTTGTTTATTGTTGATATTGTCATTTTTTAAAACGCATAAACGCGTTTAACAGCTATCTACAATTATGTGTCGGTTGTATACGCGTGCTCCCACAATAATGATGAGAGTCCTGTAGTGTGGATATATATTTATCTATGACGGACTATATAGATATAGTTGAGACATCTTGGATGTATCTGCGTATCGGGTCTCTATTTAGATTGTATTTAGAATAGAACTTGTTCGTGAGCCTGACCCACTCTTATTTTTCAGGTAACAGACGGTTCCAGGTCTTAGAGCTTGTTCGTGCTGAGTAGAGACACCTTCTCATTCTTCCGATTACGTAGGAGTTTCTTCGGGATTTGGCATTGGAGTTTTTCAGTTGTTGCTTTCGGTGTTGGAGTTTATTAGGGGTCCACCAGATGGATTCCCAAGTTGTATTAGAAATAAAGAATTGGATGTATCAGAATATTTTTTTATTTATAAAATTTTATTCTGAGGTTTTAATATTTGGATTATCGTTCTAATTTCTTTTCAGCAGTTTTATTTATTCTTGTTTTCTTAATTGTATTCTGTGTTCGTTTATTACTGATTGGTTTGATATCCTCGAGTAATCGGGCGTGGGCCTAGCCAACCCGCATCCGGAAATCCGGGTGGTATCACACTTATAGAGGCATATTTGAATTGCCAATGTATAAATAAATATACTTGTAATGACATGGTTTATTGCTAAACCACAAATAAATTGTTATGTGTTTTATATGATTAAAAATTACATATATGGTTATTGTATGTATGAGTTGGAGGTAATAGATATTCATATTTTAGAATAATCTAGTGTTTAAAGGTTAGTGTATTATTTTATATATATTAATAAAATAATATTGGTGGAGACATGATCAATTTGTCAAAGCATAGGTATTAGATTTGTGATTTAAATAAATAAATCATTATTGAGTTTTAGATTAACAGAATTATTTCTTTTAATTATAATTTATTGTTTAAATGGCTAAATAACTGTTTAGGATGGAGTTAAAGTCAAATGAACTTTTCTTTAAAAGAAATGGTGGATTAGTCTAGGTATGATTATTATTTTTAATAATTGTTTGATAGGGTTGGAAATTTAATAAACCAATTAATGAATGTGATTAGTGTAGTATATATTGACGGGGTCTAGGCCGTTCTTATACGCCAAAATAATGTAATGAATGCGCGGTTCAAGAAAAGCATTTTGGGTCAAGTTTAAATTTATAAAAACCACTACCACCACTACTACTAACGTAGCAAGAGTGAGTAGGGATCGTCCCAAGGGATTGGAGGGCTACTAGTAATGGAAACAATGCTTAGGATTAGTTAGTTGAGTGATCAAAGGTAGATTATTTAGTGGGTAATTTACACAGACCTCCCCTATAGTTTGCCATAATTACAGGTGGCACCCTTCCTGTTCCGAAAATTACTCGGACCTCCCCTACTTTTTAAAATATCCTACATGAACCTCCCTTATCTGTGACGGACCGTTAAATCGACTAACAGAGCTGTCAAAATTACTAAAATACCCTCTCCTTGCCATTTGAAATGACGAAACTACCCCCCCATGACATCAGCTTCTCATTTACACGACTATTGATTCATTTGGAGGGAAAACTTGCATTAATTGTGTCCGTTTCCCAAACTTGCATTAATTGTGTCCGTTTCCCAACGCAGGTCTTTTCATCCGCCTTACCAAAGTGGTGCCGTGTATTGTGAACACTCTGAGAGAGAGAGAGAGAGAGAGAGAGAGAGAGAGAAAGAGAGAACGAATGAACAAAGGGTAAGGGTTGTTGCATATAAAGGATTAACCAGAGATCGCATCAATATAGGAGTTCACTTTCCATATTTGGCAACAAATACAAGTTCGTATTTGCAAAGAACGAGTTAGGGTTTGCGCATATGTGAATCTGAAGTGGTCTGAGGTATGTGAAAAGAATTTTGTAGTCGATATTGAGGGTTTCTGTTTTTAATTACTCTCTATTTAGTTTAGGTTATGTTAAAATTTATACTTTGTTTTTTGGGTGTGTGTATTTTTGAATAATTCTGTATTTAGTTTAGGGTATATATTTTTGATTACTCTATATATATTTGTTCAGGGTTTTGTTTTCTATTTATTGTTAACTCTATATAGGCAAATATGGCTTTTATAATTGAAATTATGTGTAATTTGGGAGTAGTTGTTCCATTGTATTGATTGTGTTAAATTTAGTGAATTTGTGTTTATTATTTATATTTTTGTTATAATTTTAATTGTTACACTGATGGAATTAATTCATGATATTGTTGTTCACTACAAGTGAAACCTAACTTTTATAACTGGTGTGGATCAGAATTTTTATAGCATCATTGATCTCGTTAAAGATGTAACAGCAGTAGCTTTATCTCATATTCCAACTACTGTCCCTTTGTCTCTGTTTTTGTTTTATTTTGTTCCTGGGTCTTCTGGTAGAATGAATGTGGATAGTGATAAAGATGTGCTATAGATGTTTAAAGTAAATGCTGGTAAGAGATTAATAGACTTGTATATTAATAAAGTTGTAACTGATGTAAGTCCTGAATTTACCTCAATTGAGACCATGGAGTTTGATGATAGGGAGTTTGATGATAGGACTTTTGATGACAGTAATGTGAATGACAATGATGATAGTAATGTTAATAACAATAATGACCCTAATGTCAGAGACAATGAGACCAATGTAAATGAGAACAATGGAGGACAGCCTGAGGATGAGTATGATTTGGAAGATGATAATGATGTATTTGGGTTTAGTTTTGAAGATGAGGAATGGGAAAATAATGGGAAGGGTAAGAATCCAGTTCACAATGATGATGTGAATAAGAATGTGGAGGAAGAAAAGAACCATAGTGAAGATGGTATGTCAGACTATGAATCAGGAGATGAACCTGGTACTGAATCTGATAATAACATGTATGTGGAAGAAGAAGAGTGTGAGATAAATGTTAAACAACTGAAAACTGAAACAGCAAGGGGTAGGTGCTATGCAAGCTGTTTAAAGGGAATTCCATTTAAGAGAGGTGTGGATGGAAATATTAAGTTAGAAGAAGGTCGTCTATTTGTCAATGTGAACCATTTTAGGGATATTTTGGTTGATTTTTGTGTCCAAGAGGGATGTAATATAAAAAGAGTTAAAAATGAGAAGCAAAGAGTCACTGTAAGATGTGCAGTTGAGGGGTGTCCATGGAGGGTACATGCTTCCCATTTTGTAGATAGAGTAACTTATCAAGTCAAGACAATTAGAGGTCCACACAATTGTGTGAGGAGTGGCACTGTGAGGGATGCAACATTCACATGGATTGCTAAAAAGCTTGGGCAGAGTATAAAAGACAATCCAGGGGTTCCACTTGATGCATTGCATACAACAATGATGAGCCAATTCAAAGTTGATGCAAGACCCATGCAACTATATAGAGCTAAAAGGAAAGTTATGGATGAGTTAGATGGAAATCATGGGGAATCATACACTTTGCTTCCTAAGTATGCTAATGAAATTTTCAAATCTATTCCTGGTAGTATCATGAAGCTTGAGAGGGACTTGCCTACTATGACATTGAAAAGAATTTTTATGTCTTTAGAAGCTATGCAATCTGGATTCAAGAATGGTTGCAGGGGGTTCATTGGATTGGATGGTTGTTACCTAAAGACCCCTTATGGTGGTGTGCTCTTGTCTGCTATAGTCCTTGAGGAATAATGGATTTTTTCCACTGGCTGTGGCTGTGGTGGAGGATGAAGGGAAAGACAGCTGGAAATTCTTCCTTCAAGAGTTGCAAACATTTGTTGAACTTGGTCAAGATAGGCATATATGCTTTATGTTAGATCAGCAAAAGATAAAAACTTCATTTATTACATGTAATTTCTATATCTAATAAATTACATGAAATTTATATATCTAATTTATGCTTTACTTGTGCTTAGGGTCTTGAACAAGCAATGATGATTGTTTTCCCACATGCAACCCATAGGCTATGTTGCAGACATCTATATAACAACTTCAAAAAGAAGTATCCAGGAGTGCTTTTGCAGTCTTTTTTCTGGA